ATTTTGTTGTTTTGGATGCTGTTTTTGCCACAATTTTTTTTAATTAAGCCACGTATTTAGTTTTTCAAGCCATTTATTTATTTCTATAATTATTTTCAATTATGACTGGATCGGTCCTCCATGATCAGTGAGTCAAAACTCAGAAAGACGTTTTTAAAAAGTGCTAAAGGGAAATGTGTAAACAGTTCCAACTTAGGAGTCTTTTCTTGCAGCTGCGAAAGACAAAACCTACAATTAATTGTTCAATCAAGACAGAAAAAGACGAGTTGTGTGAATCTGTRCTTACGTGAGCTTCCTCCTGACTGTTGTGTAGAAAAAACAGTTTAATGTCACGGTCTTTAGGTTTTGTTCCAACTTTAGTGTTCACCCCCGCCGCACCCCCCACCCCAACTAACCCTTTATTGATATCCAATACCTCCTTCAGTGGACCCAGGATTTTAATTGACCTCGTCTTTGTTTGCTTTTTTCCACTTAGATTTTGTAAGAACGGTTTCTAATGTAACAATCGTTTTCATTTCAGGCTTCACGTTTTTAATGCTTTAAATGAAGTTYATTTACTCACGTTCACCTGCCTGTGAAGTTTGAAGTTTCTGTCTTCATGGCTGCTTTACTCAGGCATGAAATGGAAAAATATTTCCTCCTATAATCATGTTGGTTTCACTTGACACATTTTGTTGCATCTTTAACTCATACCGGTGGGAAATACTATCTTTCTGCTACTGTTAGCTTTTAGCTTTTGTTTCTTATAGCAGCTCAGTTTAGTAATTGTTTGCTAAATCATTTAGCTCCCAGTATTTCCATGAAAAACGCAATTTCTCCAGTCCCGAACACATCTTGGTGTCTCTCCACACAAACCACACTTTGTCTTTTTGGTCCCACTTCCTCCATATAATTAAGTTAATAGTTCTGGAGTCAGTGACAGACAAATAGAAACATGCTATTTCCTCTTTTGGTCCACTGGAAGGACCAAATTGGTGTTCTCCCCTGCCTTTTCTTCTGACTTGCCCATTTTTATTTATTTTTTATTTTTTTACTTTCAACTCCACTCTGAAACTCTCCGTCCATCACACAGGAGARGCGAAGCCGTCAGTCACAAGCTGCCAAATGGACTTTCTGGTGTTTCCTGTTCTGTGCCGTTATCAAAAAATTGCTAGATGCTTTTGTTGAGAGGTGTTCTTCCTGTCTCACTTCTTTATCTCGTGCCCCCTCACGCCCCACCCCCATTCTCAAACACACACACACATATACATATTATGTGTGTTTGTTCTAGTACGATAAAATTGATGCTATGCACTGACGTGCATGAATGCAGGAACACGACAAAATAATGCACTCAAGTCTCCATAGAGGGACGTCTCCCACTCCTTCATGCAAACACACACACACACACATAAGTGACACACACACGTACACATTGCAATTTAGAGCCTCCGCTCTGCCAGTGCTGTCAAAAGACCCTTCAATTCTTACACCATCTTTTTTTCCTCCTCTTCACTCCCTCGGCTGCCTTCTTTTTTTTATGAGAACAGATATCCTCCTCATTATAGATTCATAGTCCTTACGAGCTCTTTCCACACCACTTATGTCAGGGTCGGGCGCAGGAGTTTTAGTCAAAACAGCMGAGCATAATGATCCACGATGGCTCTGACAAGAACTAATTAGATCAGCAAAGCAGCTGGCCTTGTTCTCCACCGATGACTTACATGAAAACAAAGATTTCTGTAACCAATTATAATGCAGAAGTCAATCACACAGATCAGTTTAACACAACTCAGCTTTTGTTTTTGGTTAATTTATTACCTTTTTTTATAATATCCAATGCAATCTTGAGAGATCTTCTTGATACGTAGATTGAGCTAAATGTATTTTTGTGTCAATTAGCTGTGGTGGCCATCTTGAAGGGGATGAGCTCCAAAAGTAAATCCTTTGTAGATTTACATTTAGTGCTTCCTCTCTCAAGGTTTTAATAAAATCCATCAACTGGTGCATGAAATATTTGGCCATTGCTGCAGACAAATGACCACACAGGCGAAAAAAACAAACAAAAACAAAACATTGTTGCTCTTTGGCCTTTGGCAGCAGATGACAAATATAGGACGGGTCATAAATACACAGTAGGCTTAAGGTTGTGCAAAAAAACACAGCAGAGCAAAATATGAATGCAGTAACATCACCCTGGGTGTAGTTATGAAAAGCAGCATGAGCTAATAAAACATACATGAGCTCTGTAGCCTATGGTTAAAGCTAACAACATTAGTMCACAGCTATAACTGCATTAATGTCATATCGGTTTATTATGAATCATAATGCATCCTTTTGAACTTTTATTTTACTTACACACCAAAACTGCTTGTAAAGGGTTTTAAGTTGGCTGTAAATGGGTCAAAATCAGTGAGAGGTTTTTAGTACCAGAGTGTGGGTTACAGAAAAAACTCATATTTAAAGCTGAAACCAAACATTTGACTGAAAATTAATTATTTTATTTATTTAATTTACCCAGGCAAGTCCCATTGAGATCTCAGATCTCTTTTTCAAGGGAGGCCTGGAGGCAACCTATTGTACA